GGGTGTATCCTCTTTCGGTTGCGGAGAATCAGGCCATGGAGGAGTATGTTGCGAATGCGCTTTCCTGGGGGCACTTTCGCAAATCTACTTCTCCAGCAGGAGCTGGCTTTTTCTTTGTGAAAAAGAAGGGCGGTGAATTGAGGCCTTGCATTGATTTTAGGGTTCTCAATCGAGTCACGATTAAGAATGCTTACCCAATTCCGTTGATTACCGAGTTGTTCGACCGCCTCAAGGGAGCAACGGTCTTTACTAAACTCGACCTTAGGGCTGCGTACAACCTCGTATGGATCAAGGAGGGCGACGAGTGAAAGACCGAGTGCAACACCAGAACTGGCCACTATGAATCCCTGGTTATGTCCTTCGGGTTGTGTAACGCGCCCGCAGTCTTTCAGGAGTTCATTATTGATGTCTTTCGTGACTTGTTGCAGCAGTGCGTGGTCGTTTACTTGGACGACATCCTGGTTTACTCTGCGTCTATGGAGTCTCATATCCAGGATGTTAAGCAGTTGCTGCAACGGTTACGTGAGAATGAGCTTTTCTGTAAGCTTGAGAAGTGTGAATTTCACCTATCCCATGTTGCCTTTTTTTGGGCTACATCCTTTCCGCTGTGGGATTTTCCATGAACGCTCAGAAGGTTTCGGCAGTTCTGCAGTGGCCTCGTCCCAGTGGTCTTCGGTCCATTCAGCGCTTTTTGGGATTTGCCAACTATTATCGGAAGTTTATCAGGAACTTCTCCACGCTGGCCAAGCCTCTCTCAGATCTGACCAAGAAGGGCAGTAATCCCCACAAGTGGTCATCCGAGGCCATCTTAGCTTTCGAAGCTCTGAAATCCGCCTTCGCTTCGGCTCCGATACTGTCTCATCCCAATCCTGGGTTGCCTTTTGTCCTCGGAGTTGATGCATCTGAGACGGGAGTAGGCGCCCTCCTGTCTCAGCATCGGTCGCCCAATGGACCCCTTCTTCCCTGTGGGTTCTATTCTAGGAAGCTTCCTCCGCAGAATGCAACTACAAGATTGGAGACAGGGAGTTGTTGGCCACTATTCAGGCTCTCAAGGAATGGAGGCACCTGCTCGAGGGTTCTGCAGTTCCGGTTCTCATTCTCACTGACCACAAGAACCCGACGTATCTCTCGGAAGCTAAGAGGTTGAGCTCTGTTCTTGTCGCGTTTTAACTATGTGGTCTCCTATTTGCCTGGCTCCAAGAATGTCAGGGCTGATGCCTTGTTGTGGCAATACTCTGAGCTGTCCAGGGAGGACTCTGAGCCAACCTCGGTCATACCTCCGGATCAGATCCTGGCTGTCATTTGTACCAGCCTGACTTCTCCCCTTGGGGAGCAGATTTTGGCGGCTCAAACTGATGCTCCCTCTGAGAGACCGGCTGGTAGATGTTTCGTACCTGAGGGATTGCGCACCCCCTTGCTGCGTACCTACCATAACTTCAAGACTGCCGGTCATCCAGGGAGGAACCAGTTGTCCTGGGTCGTTTATTCTGGTGGCCATCTCTCCGTTCCGACATTGCCTCATATGTAGCGGCATGTTCTGTCTGTGCCCAGAATAAATCTCCTCGGCATCTTCCATTAGGCCTTCTGCAACCCATTCCCAATGGGGAGCGTCCCTGGTCACACCTGGGCATGGATTTTATTGAAGACCTCCCTGCGTCTCGAGGCTATACGGTCATTCTTATGGTCATTGATAGTTTCTCCAAGATGTGCCATTGTGTTCCGTTCAAGAAATTGCCGACTGTGCAAGAACTGGCTACGGTTTTCGCCAGGGAGATCTTTCGCTTGCATGGGTTGCCTAAGGTGATTGTCTCGGACCGTGGGAGCCAGTTTGTGTCCAGGTTCTGGCGTGCCTTCTGCTCCCAGTTGGGTATCAAGCTCTCCTTCTCTTCGGCCTACCACCCGCAGTCCAACGGGGCTGCGGAGCGTTCCAACCAGGCCCTGGAACAATTCCTTCGCTGCTATATCTCAGACCATCAAGACAATTGGGTCGATCTCCTGCCATGGGCAGAGTTTGCGAGGAACTCGCCTGTCAACTCCTCCTCCGGGATGTCTCCCTTCATGACCAACTATGGGTTCCAACCCGCTGTATTGCCTGAGTTGTTCTCGCCACAGGACATTCCGACTGTGGATAACCATCTTGCTGCCCTGCGTTCCTCGTGGGGGCAGATCCAGAGGTCCTTGAAGGACTCAGCTCAGCGTCAGAAGCTCCAGGCTGATCGTAGACGGTTGCCCGCTCCTTCATACCGGGTTGGAGATTGGGTGTGGCTGTCCACTCGTAACCTCAATCTTCGGGTGCCCGCACCGAAACTGGCTCCCTGTTTTGTTGGTCCTTTCTGCATCCTCCGCAGGGTGAACCCGGTTGCCTATGCCCTTGCTCTTCCTCCTGGGATGCGTATCTCCAATGTCTTCCACGTATCCCTGTTGAAACCTCTGGTCTGTAATCGCTTTACTGCCTCTCTGCCTCAGCCTCGTCCTATCCGGGTTGACGGTCATGAGGAGTATGAGGTGAGCCGCATCCTGGACTCTCGGTTGGTCCGCGGTTGGGTGCAGTTCCTGGTCCATTGGCGTGGTTATGGTCCCGAGGAGCGTTCCTGGGTTCCTTCCACAGATGTTCCTGCTCCTGCCCTCCTCCGCGCTTTTCACGCCCCGCTTTCCCCAGAAGCCTTATGTTGAGCTGTGGAGGGGGAGGGGCCCATGAGGAGGAGGTACTGTCAAGGTCCAACCTTTCCTCAGGGCTTGTGCTGCTCTATTTGCTGGCATCCATCTTAGGTGTCTGCAAAGCATTGTGGGATCCTTTATGCTTTCAGCCTCTGCGGCTCCTCCCCCAGGAGGTGGCGGCTTATCACATGTAAGTCTGCTGTTTGTAGCTGTCCATTGCATTTGTGTCCTGTCTGTTGCACAGCAGCAAGCTCCCGTTTAGTTTCTCATTGCTCTCCTGGATACCAACTCGGCTTTGGCAAGACTCCTTCCTGGCTTCTGACCCTGACTCTATCGACCATCCTTCCTGGCTTCTGACCCCGGCTCTGGCGACCATCCTTCCTGGCTTCTGACCCCGGCTCTGGCGACCATCCTTCCTGGCCTCTGACCCCGGCTCTGGCGACCATCCTTCCTGGCTACTGTCCTACTAAGTCATCCGATGTTGCTGTTGGACTTGCATAGACTCTCTCTTGTTTTTGTATAATAAACCTACCTTTAATTGCACCTCCTTGTGTGTCTGGCTCCTCGCTCCCTGACACGAACTGCTTCCTTGCTGCCCTCTGATAAGTTTCATAGGCCCATATTACGCTGAGCCACACAGCTCCCAGACCGCAACCCTGTCCACACAGGCTGGAATGTTAAACTTGACCAGAAAGCAGGGCAAGTCCAGGTACTTTAACAAGTTCATTCTTAGAACAATATGCACTGCACAGCTTATAGGGCCACAAGTCACTACTACTCCAACGAGGTCCACCACTTGATTGTCAATCTGAATCCATAAAGAGGTGACACCTTCTACCAGGATGGGCACCTTAAGCAATAGGCAGGAGGGATCTAGCTGGTCTCCTAAATCTCTGGGCATAGTCATACTCCATGACAGTGTCCTCTGACCCCATTTCAATCAGGTACGGGACCTCTTGTCCATTAATGAGGGTGGCCACCACTGGGCTTGGTGCTACCATATAGTCAGGCTTGGTGGGACCTTGAGTTGATTGTCCTGGGGTTCATCCCTCTGCCCCAGGAACCACTAACCTAAGAGATAAACAATATCCAACTCAACCTCCCGTTCAGTCCTCATGGCTGAAGACTAATGCTCAAAGCAAAGTGTTCTGACATTTGAGCAGCAATTGCATAGTGGAGAGGGACAGGAGCCTGCATCCAGTAAATCCATCACATGAAAAATCTTTATTGGCCACATATAAATCACAACATAAATACGCTTACATGTTTCAGCTGTAACAGCCTTCCTCATAGCACCACTTGTGATGTGACTTATATGTAGCCAATAAAGATTTTGCTACATACTATAATGCATATGTCAATCTAAAACTATAAGTCCAAAGCGGGCCATACAGAGAAAATTTAAATCAGTCAATTGTTTAAACGACTTCTGTCGAAGGGACATGTTGGAAAATTTTCCATCGATCAGTGGCTGCAGCCAATCAGCTGCAGCCACTGATCAGTGTATTCTGACAGAAGTCCATGCTGTGGTCAGAATACCATTTCAGGGTGGAGGTGATTTCTCCATCCACTTTATATGTGCGAAAATAGGAATCCAGTATTTATTTTTTTTAGTTCAGCCAGAACAGTGTATGGCTGACTTTGGACTACCTTTCCCACAGGGTGACAACGCTGCTGTATGATTTCACTGCAGAACAAAGAGCACTGTCATCCTATTAAAGGAAGTGGAAAAGTAACAGATCTAATGGGTAGTGTCCACAGGTAATAAAACCTAAAGAGGGGGAATTCACACAAAAATGGCAGTGTTAAAGCGGCATTAACCACTAGCCTACAGGGCACTTATACCCCCTTCCTGCCCAGGCCAATTTCCAGCTTTCAGCGCTGTTGTACTTTGAATGACAATTGCGCAGTCATGCAACACTGTACCCATATGACATTTTTATAATTTTTTTTGTGACATATAGAACTTTATTTTGTTGGTATTTAATCACCTCTGGGATTTTTATTTTTTCTTAAACCAAAAACCACTGAAAATTTTGAAAAAAAAAAGTTTCTTCTTAGTTTTTGTTATAAAATTTTGTAAATAAGCGATTTTTCTCCTTCACTGATGTGCGCTAATGAGGTTGCAGTGGTGGGCACTGATAGGCTGCACTGATGGACACTGATAGGTGGCACTGATGGGCAATGATAAGGAGGCACTGGTAGGTGGCACTGATGGGCATTGACAGACATCACTGATGGGCACTGAAAGGCAGCACTCTTATATGGCACTGATAGGTGGCACTGATAGGCGGCACTGACTGGCACTGTTAGGTGTCACTGACTGGCACTGTTAGGCAGCACTGATGGGCAGCAATGAGGGGCACTGATAGGTGGCACTGATGCACACTGATAGGCGGCACTGACTGCCATTGATAGGCAGCACAGGCTGGCACTGATTGGCAGTACTGATAGGTGGCACTGACTGGCATTGATAGGTGGCACTGACTGGCACTGATGGGTGACAGTGAAAGGCAGCTCACATGGGCACTGATATGTGGCATTGATGTGCATTGGTAGGCACTGAAATGTGGCATTGATGTGGCACTGATGGTCACTGGCAGGTGGCATGGTTGAGCACTGACAGCTGGCACTGACGGACACTGACAGGTGGCACTGCTGGGGCTACACAGATCATCAGGGCACACTGATCATCAGTGTCCTGATGATCAGTGCACATGTCCCCTCTGAGGGATGCCGATTACCGGCTCTCCTCTCGAGCTCTCAGCGTGACAGCTCGTGAGGAGAGAAATGCTGATAACCGGCATTTCCCTATTTACATGCGATCAGCTGTGATTGAACACAGCTGATCACATGACCGAGCCGACATCTTCGGCATTTCCGTTGATAGGTGATTCGCTGTGTCTGAGGGACACAGTGCACCACCGACGCCACGCGCTTAGAATGGGAGGACATCAAATGACGTCCTCCCAGAATGAGAGAGAACCGCCTTGCGCCCGTCATTGTACTATATGGCAGGCGGGAGGCAGTTAAACCCAAAACTAAAAATTTTATGTATTGCAGCTTATATTAGACATGGTGGCTGCATCAGTTTTTTTCCCCTCTTTTTTCTGACCAGTAAACACACCTCCTGTATTAGTGAGACACAACTCTGGATGCATGAGCACAGGAGGCACAGCAGACTGCAACATTGTCAGAGCAGATTTGAAAAAAAATAAAAAATTGAAGCCAAACTCCAGTTCACACTTTTTGATCAGTTACAGTAGTTTTTTTTTTTTTCCTTTTGGGATAAAGGCTTTTATCCCATCATGAATAAATACAAGCTGATCAGTGTAAGCACCCCTGTCAGTGTTAAAGGGTTTGCCTAATCTATGTAAGCTGACATTCTGCTGGAGAGCTTGTGTTTTTGAAAATTAACAGACTTACTGGCCAGATCACCACAGAATGAAGAAAGAAAGCCTAAAAAAAAAAATGAATGCAGCCATCACATCTAAGAATTGGTAGTATAATATATAAGTAACTGCAGTATAATAAATGTTTGCTTTTGTTGCTTTAATGTGGTGAGAGACAGACTTCATCATATGTCATTTTTTTAGTCTACCCGTCATCTTACTTTAATTATAACAGAGACCAGGAAGAATGCATAGCAGATGCAGAGCTGTAAAAACATAAAGTTCTACAGAAAGAAAACAATGGCACAGCTTCCCCTGGCGATGCAGTAAAAAGCGGAACAGACAATGTGGACGTAACATTAGATAATGCCATCCAATGGAAACATGATTTTATACTGTTCTCGGAAACCGAACGCATTCTGGGTTGTGTTGTTGTAGAGGGGAAATGTTTTCCTAGGAAATAAACAAGTTCTCTTTGCAATATTTATTAGCCTGTACCTGGCAGCCTTATCAACAGCTGGGCATGTGACAGAAGAATTATCCGAGCGGGCTCTCTGCTGTCATCTGTGCCGCACCCGGTGTGTGATGATTGCCGCGGCCTGGCTGTTGGAATGCAGAAGGCTTCTCCTCATGCAGCACTTTGCAGAATCTCTGTGATGCCACTGCGCTTTCCAGCTGTCTGCTTCCGACCACAAGAGGTCGGCTCAATCCCACTCCATCTGGACAGAGCTGTCTTGTCAGGAAACTGTCACCACCGCAGTCCCTGAAAGCCGTAATGAGGAGGACCTGTACCTGCTTGCTGCCATATTCCAGTCTGTCTACTCATCACAGGCTAGCTACTGAAATTGTTAATGGAACTGAACCCTTTTTTGTAATGACATAACATACCCAAGCTTGTTAACCCTGGTACCATGGAACACTCATCATGGTGTATTTACTATATGGTATTACGGCCTATTTACACCTATACTATATTGCCAAAAGTATTGGGCCGCCTGCCTTTACACGCACATGAACTTTAATGGTCTTAGTCTGTAGGGTTCCATATTCAGTTGGTCCACCCTTTGCAGCTATAACAGCTCCAACTCTTCTGGGAAGGCTGTCCACCAGGTTCAGGAGTGTGTCTATGGGACCATTCTTCCAGAAGCGCATCTCAGGGGTCAGGCACTGATGTCAGACTGATGTGGGATGCAGTTTCTCAGCTCCAATTCATACCAAAGGTGTTCTATCGGGTTGAGGTCAGGACTCTGTGCAGGCCAGTCAAGTTCCTCCAACCCAAATTCACTCATGTCTTTATGGACCTTGCTTTGTGTACTGGTGTGCAGTCATGTTGGAACAGGAAGAGGCCATCCCCAAACTGTTCCCACAAAGTTGGGGGCATGAAATTGTCCAAAATGTCTTGGTATGCTGACGCCTTAAGAGTTCCCTTCACTGGAACTGAGGGGCCAAGCCCAACCCCTGAAAAGCAACCCCACACCATAATCCCCACATCCACCAAACTTTGCACTTGGCACAATGCAGTCAGGCAAGTACCATTCTCAGACACATCCATCGAATTGCCAGACAGAGAAGCGTGATTCATCACTCCAGAGAACATGTCTTCACTGCTCTAGAGTCCAGTGGCAGCGTGCTTTTCACCACTGCATCCAACACTTTGCATTGCCCATTCCATGAAGCTGTCTACGCTCTGTTGTTGTGCTAATCTGAAGGCCACACAAAGTTTGGAGGTCTTTAGTTATTGAGTCTGTGAAGGAAGACCGAGGGCTGGGCCCACAGATTCAGTGGGTACACGATGCCACACAGACACAGACAGCGGTTCTTTTAAAACAATTACGTTTACTGAACAGTTATAGTGATCATGTAGTTGAGCATAAGTAAACAGAATGATAACAGCGCATAACCATACAGTAAGAATAATACTGTCTAACACTAACCCGTACTTTTCCCCAATGTCCAGAAAGCAGCCTGGCTGCGCCTGAATGTTCCTGAGCAAGATATAACGTTGGGGTGCACCCTAAGTATTGCGCAATACTATTTGTAATCCAAAAGAAAGTGGAGTATGTCTCTTGTAACTTTCTGGTATATCCAAAATGTCACTGACCACGTGTGGTGCGATGTGCTGCGGCAAAGCCGCACTTACGGTTCCCTGGCAGGCTCTTGGTGCTTTCTCCTAACCCACTCCGGAACCGGACCATACAGTCACTTGTTTCCTGACCTCGTTGTGGATCTTCCTTAGGTGCCCTCGCCAGATTCCACTGTGAGCCGTAAATCCTCTTCCAGGGCCCACACAGATTCTCCAGACGTCCTCGGCATCCAACAGCCAGACCCAGACTCCACTTCCTCCTCAGCACAGGAACTCCTCCCCTTCCCATAGAGTTTGTGATGCAGTAAGTAATTTCTTAATTGCAGCCTCAAACCTGCATTTACAGTTCACTATGACCCTTCTGAGGGTCCTACTCGGCCCCTAAATTAGTATTCATTAAACTTTATAGGGTAAATAAGCATTTATCTTATCTTAGCAAACGTCACTACAAAATCGATTCTTGTACTTTGCTGCCATCTACTGACCAAAGAGCATATTGCAGTTTAACATTACACACCAGTATTAATCCATGCGTCACACCCTTACATCTGCAGACAGTTAGAGACTTCTGGGTACTGTGCGCTTCAGCATGCGCTGACCCTGCTCTGTCATTTTACGTGGCCTACCACTTTGTGGCTGAGTTGCTGTTGTTCCCAGTTGCTTCCACGTTGTTATAATCCCACTAACAGGTGACCATGGAATATTTAGTAGCAAGGAAATATCACGGAGGAAATATCACGAGCTTGAATTCACCGAGCTCCTGAGAGCGACCCATTCTTTCACAAATGTTTGGAGAAGCAGTCTGCATGCCTTGGTGCTTAATTAAATACACCTGTGACCATGGAGGTGATTGGAAAACCTGAATTCAATGATTTGGAGGTGTCCCAATACTTTTGGCAATATACTGTATGTGGTCATTTCTATTGGTCCTCAATGAGCATCCACGCACCAGAAAAGAATCTGACCCTTAGCTTGTAGTAGTTTTGGGCGGTGTGGACTGATGTCAATGTGCAAAGTGTGAATTTGACATCTTTTTGAGATCATTCATTGCACATGCATTTGACCTGCTGCTTTTGCATTCCCATAGACTTATATGGGGACAGAAGCAGTTCTAAAGCAAACTAAAGCCTGTTGAATTGGCCTTTATCACATTCCTCTCATCTAAGTGGGGTTTCCTCAGCTCTAATGAATTTCAGGAACAGCAGGCCAGATTTTATAACACATGTTACCTCAAAGCAGGGATTGACAAATTTGCTTTGAATCTAGGAGTCAGCTAAAAAAGTTAGGAGCCAGGTTTTTTTTAGCGTAGCTGGGTTGTCAACCGGGGCTAAGCAAGTTTTGGGCAACAAGCGTCACATGGTGCGATTTGCGTGAGACAATCAACCAAATTACCACATAACTATAGGCGTCATTGAAAAATAATAGCAAATGAACCTGCGTTTTGCATCACAGTGCTAAATTCTGCCTATCAGTCCCAAAATGCCCAGGTGGGAATGGAGCCGCCTGGTTCACACATATGCAATTTAAAATCAGAATTGATACAGGTTAGATAAAGCCTATTGAGGTGGTTCCCACCGATGCAATCTGCACCATTGTGTTTTGAGTGCCAGTTAAAGCGCATGGGACATTTATTAGTGATTCCAGACCCCCAATTGATAGGTGCATGTCTGTAGGTGTGACCATAGATGTCTCGGTTGCCAGGAGAAACTGTTTCATTGAAGATCCAGGGAGGTGTTTTTGCATTGACGTCAATGAGAGGTGTTCTTGTTGCAAGTCCCAGGACCTACTGGATTTACATTGAAGCTCCCCAGAAATAAGAGAGCCGTGGACAAGTCAAGGACGCGATTTTGCATTGATAGGACGTTTTTGTTTATTGCAAATTGAACATGGAAAAGAACTACACTTAGCAAAGTTGTCTTCAGTTGCTTGGCCAAATATTACATGGAACACAGAGGTGTTCTCTACAGTAGCAGCAATTGTCTTCAACATGTAAATATACAGATAAACATAGCTCTGGACAGATGACATCTTAAGTGGTCACCCATATATGACATGAACACCGCCTTGCTCCAGTGATACAGTGGCTGAGTACAGGGGCAGGTCTTAAATGTCCCATGCGCTTTAACTTGCGCTATCTGGTCAGTGCATTACTTGGCTTTTCTTTATCATTTCTGATATCTACTATCCCTGGCTCTTCAAGTGTTGGAGACTGTATATAACGTATTTAGCACATCTGATGAACTGACGCCGTCTTTTTTGCCGATCCACATTCAAATGGGATCTATCTTATGTGTAATCATTGTTTAAGTTAGCGCTGCACTTTCATATTTTACCACTAAAGCAAACTAAAGCCTGTTGAGATTGGCCTTTAGTCACATTCCTCTCATCTAAGTGGGGTTTCGTCAGCTCTAATGAATTTCAGGAACACAGGCCAGGATTTTATAAA